CTGCAATGGGCAAGTAACCCTTTCTTCTTCTATGCCAGACAATGTCCCTACAAGTGCTTTGCTCCAAGTGCTTGTTGAACAGTACCCAGAGTCAAGTAAGGAAACTAAACAGTACCAGAGGCAGAATTGTGAGTTATAGCATAGCGTTAAATGCACATATGTGTAGAGGTCCAGGTAGTAGTTTTACAGATTTCAGTTATCACCATGTTCTTGAGGAAGGCTGCAGAAATGAAATAATAGAATTGTAGAATACTAGAACTGCAAGGGACCTCGAAAGGTCATCAAGTCTAGTGCTCTGCCCTCATGGCACGAACAAGCACCACCTAGAATAGATCATCCCTGATAGATGTCTATTCCAACCTGCTCTTAAATATCTCCAATGATGGAGATTCCACAATCTCCCGAGGCAATATATTCCAGTGTTTAACCATTCTGACAGTTGGGAAGTTTTTCCTAATGTCCAACCTAAACCTCCCTTGCTGCAATTTAAGCCCATTAATTCTTGTCCTATCATGAGAAGTCAGTGAGAACAATTTTTCTCCCTCCTTCTTGTAACACCTAAGTACTCCAAAACTGCGATCTTATGTCTCACTCAGTGTTCTTTTCCAAACTAAACAAACCCAATTCTTTCTCTTTGAAGAATTAGTATATTTATCTGAAGGTGGATAAATATTGTGAAATTCATAAAAAGACTTAATGCAGCCTGCTATCCACTTGAAAAGTCTGTGATTAGATCAAAACAGTTGGCAGTCTCTATCTACAAACGAGACAAGTAATCTGTGGGTCTTTCTAAAGGGCTTTCTCTTAGCTAGATAGTAGGCCAGGGCTCTCCTGATATCAGGGATGTTCAGCTATGCCTCCTGTACAGATGTAGTTTGTGGTGAAAGCCAGGCAGATGAATGGGCTAAACAAGTCAGAAACCTTAGTTAAGAATTTCAGATGGGGACAAAGCATAACCTTGTCTTTAAACATTGCAGGGAAGAGATATGCCATCAAAGACCCTATTTCTCCAACCCATTAAACCGAAAAGGTGATCAGGAATGCAGTCTTCACTGATAAATGAAGCAGTGTAGGTATTCATAGGTTCAAAAGGCCATCTTGTGAAGCATTAAAATACTAGAAGGAGGTCCCATACCAGAGTTTGGTGTTAGATCAGCAGATGGAAGTTTTCCAGCCCGGTAAGGAATCTCACTGTGGTTGGTGGGAAAAACAGAATAGCTTTCTATGAGATGGTGGAAAAACATGATAGCTGTCAAGTAGATTTTTATGGAGCTCATCAATAGTTCTGAAGTTTTCAATGGGAGGGTGTTGTCCAGTTTATCTGGAAATGATGAGGTCATAAGAAACCCTTAAATCACATCAACTGGCAAACATCAACTGGCAAACAGGATCCGTTTGAGAACATATGCACCGAATAGATTGTTTCCTGCTTTGTAATAACACTCTTTTTACATTTTCTGAGCAAGGGCTCTCTAGTCCTATGAGCCATCCATCAACCATGCTTTCAGATGAAGCATTGAGAGATTGGGATGAAGAATCTTGCCCCCTTGGAGAGAGAAGATGAAGAGTGATGTGAAAAATAATCAGAGCGCAAACAAGCCAGCTGTACCAGATACGGAAACCATATTTGCCTGGGCCAGGTCAGAACTATTAGGGTGACTCTGGATTGATCTGTCTTTATTTTGAGCTTGACTTTGGCTATTAGAGGAGTTGGAAGAAATGGGGACAATAGGTGAAAAACGTCCCCTGGGGACTGGTGACCCAGTCTACTCCTGGAACCAAAGTGTGTGCCTTTTTTGTTTAATTATGTGGCAAACTAATCTCTCTCATGGGTGCCCCATTTATGGACTATATGGTACAACATACGCGGAGGTCTATTTCCTACCCATAGTCTTGGAAAAGTTCTGCTGAATGCATTTGTTATGTTCTGAATTCCCGGGAGTTAAGCTGCTGTGATGTCAATCTGGTGCGTATGCAACAGTTCCAAAGCCTGCGAACCACAACACAGAAAGGGGATATTGCTCTACCTTGGCAATTGATATAAAACACACTTGACAAACCGTCCGTAATGATCCTTATGTGATTTCCCATGATGAGTGGTAGGAATCGGAGACAGACATATCTAAATGCTCTGAGTTACAGGAAGTTAGTGTGTACCGTGAATTCTTGAGATGATTACTAGTCCCAGAACACGTAAGTGAGCTGCGATTTTAGCATAGTGCAACTTACCGTGGTCATTAACTGAGTCAACTACAAAGGAGTTAAGTGAGAGATGAGAAAATAAAAATGTTGACTCTTTTGCCTGGACATAACACTTATTTGCCCTTTTACATACAGGTGGGATAGAAGTAGGGGTGTGCTAGATTATATTTGCGAGGCTCAGATGTGCTTTACTAGCAGGCAACATTAGACAGTCCAATGAGGGCAAGTGGAGGATACTGAGTAGCTTATCATGAGGATCTTTGAGGGGCATCGTGCAGTCTGCAAGCCTCTTGACCAGGTCCTAGAAGTATTTAAAATCATCTACCAGGAATGGAAGAGGAGGCATGTCTGCTTCATAGAGAGATGAATAGGAGACACTGCCCATACCAGAAATTCCTTCACTGGCTCTAGCATCCTGTTCCTCTTAGGATTCTTCTAGAGGATCAGGTGTCCTGGGAGGAGTAAGTAAAACAGGTTGCCCCTCTCTATGGCACTAAAATAAATGCTGACTGTTTTGTACGTAATGGCACTCATAATTCTCTGCCTGAGATGATAGTGAAATCACACATAGCTCACAGTTAAAGCTTCCTGGTTGTAGTTATAAAGTAGATCAGTGCCATCACAATATACTTAAAAAAATGGATTTGAGTTTAAATTTTTAATTGTGTTCATATTCCAATTATTACTCCTTCCAAAAAGTACTAACAATTCTAATAGCTTTAATAAAATAATGTATCACAAGATTTTTCCATCATTGCAACCATCTGTAGCAGGTAGGTAAATAAATGTTATGCCTGCAAAAATAAAATGTGAGTCTAGAGTAAGCATATTACTAGACAGGAACACTCCATACTCACTTCGTCTCTGCTCCAGGTTCTCCTCCGTGTAATTGTTGGGGGATCAACAGTGTCTGTCAACTGAGGCCTAGAATCATTAGACCGACTGTTTCCCTCAGGTGGTTTAGCATGCACTAATGGAGGAATCTTTCTAAAGTTCAGACTTTCATCAAATACACGGTCAACCAGCTAAAAGAGAAAAAAATATATATGTATATATTTAATAAAAAACAGGCAGTTTATGAAACCTGTTGGATATATACAGTATAAGGGCTTCAAGATGAGACTGATTTTTTTCCTCTAAAGTTGATTTTACAATTTCCATAATAAACACAAATATTTGTGTTCCTATGTATTATAAAATGTGTGTGTGTTATGTGATAGTGTGTTGACTAAACAGATGGCTATTTTCCAAAACCAGAAATATACATGACTATAAAATTAGACTGCCAGATGGCAAGGATTTCTCCTAAATATAGATATCATGTAACAATCATAAAAAAGTGAAATTCCAGTCACTGAAACAGGCAATAGTAAACCATTACTCTTACTTTTACCAGTTCTGACTGTAAATGATTAATAGTTTTGATTTTCTCTTCACAAAAGGTTCTTTTCGCAAATTACATTTAATGGCAGATTTCTATGAAACTAATGAAACGGAAGGTTTTTTCTTCAAATCACTGAGTATTTTAGTCCTTTCCAGACAGTCACAATGTTACAGATTCTACATCAATGAGATGCTGCCACCTACAGTATTATTATATAATTTACTGTGCAATTTAGTAATACTAAACAAAAAAGAGAATACTTATTCAATGAAATGTAAGACATGATTTAAATGAATCTGAATAAATGCATATTTATGTTAGCTGAAGTTTAGTTGGGGTTCTAAGAGATAAATCAATCTATACTGTTTTAGTCAATTACACTGCACATGAGGCAAGTATCGTGCCACTCTTTATAGCCTTTTCTTACTGAACAAAAAGGCCAGTCTTGAAACGAACACAGTCAATTAATATGTTTACCAAGCCTCACATACACAAACATGATTAGACATATTTTATGGGGAACAAAGCAAGAAAGAACAAAACCAAAACTAAACATTTACAAAAAACTAGCTAAATGACAGTATGGCAGAAGGGGAGTCATTTTTATGTCATCTGTAACGTATTTACTAGTATTAGACCTGCAATGACGACGAAAACAACTTAGTACAGTATAATATACAGCATTCCAGAGAAAGTTAAAGAAGAGGAAAACTGAATTGCAGCATGAGGCAAATTTAATTCAAGCTAATTTATTATAATATATTGTGGAAGAAGAACTAAAATTACTGTAAAAAGTGATGCTACTTACATATTTAAATGGCATCATGGGAAAACTTCTAAATCTTCTCTGAATACAAGGGCTTTTGTAATTTGTGTATACACACTAAAATCTTTACAAGTACTCATACTACTATTCACGGGTATTCAAGACTGGACAAGCAAGAAGTTAATAAGTACAATCTCTTGTGTTTAATAGTGAAAACAGACACACAACATGAATAGTTTGGGTGACCATTTTAATGATCTGTGTTCACAGACTGATTTTTGTGCTTACTGATTTTTGTTAAAAGATTAAGGAATCTTAAATCAAAAGAAGAGAATGCTAAGATTCATGCAAACAGGCTGGGTTGGGATAACTAAAAAAGCTATGCAAAAGGCTAAAAGCAAAAGAAATAAAGAAAAGAAAGAACCTTATGCATTTCTCCATGAAGATCTCCTACCTCTTCTCTAGTGTCTATGGCAGAGCCAGGGGTGGTGGCAGCAGTGCTTACTGTGGTACTCGGAGCAGTGCCTGATGAAGTCACTGAATCTATCTCTCCTGCTACATCATTGATTTCCCGTGCGATGAGAGCCAGGTCTTGACTGATCCTGGTAATAATTTTAAAGACAACATTACATTCTCTTAATATAGTATTCCATAATACTCTTAATATAGCATCCAACCTGTATTCTTTATTCTCTTGGCATTCTAAGTTGTGACTCTTGAATGAAGCCATACTATGAAGAAAATGTGTAATTGATTATGAAGTAAAAATTTGCTTGCTGAGCTGTGCACTGCAATTTTGAAGTGCAAAGTTTTCAAATCAAGTTCTTTGCTACAAGCAGGTGAAAGAGCACTCTGCTTCCCAAAATGCTTCCCCAGCTGCTTCACATGCAGCCCCAAAAGTAGCTCTACTGTGTGATCCGAGTGCTCTGAACAGCTACTGTCCTTTCTCTGCTATAGCTGCTCTCCCACTGGACATCCCTGCACCACAAAGAGGAGGGAGAGCAGGCTGCTCCATTTCCTGCTTACCTGTTGGACTGTGGGAGCATAAGATAGGAGACTAATTGCTCCAAGGATTGCCCCTCCCCCCCAGAGCCAAGGGAGTCCATAAAACAAGGAAAGGGAAAAAGCTGAGACAGTCGTCAGTTATGACTCTCTGATTTTATGAGCCAGCCCAGATTAGAGTAGGAGCTTCTGTCACCTTTCAGAAGTTCACTCAGGAAGCCAGGTTGGGACGGATGCATTTCTGTGCACTTTAGTTAATTCCCTTCTCTTTCTAAATTAGCTGAGAAGAATAATGCATAAAAAGCAGCTATGCAGTTTACTCTATGCCCACTGGGGATTCTCATTCCAAGAGAATCCTCAGCAAAGTACTGCAGGCTGTTTCTGCTCCCTTTGCCAGGCAATGAACGGGACAGAGAATTTGACCTTCAATATTAACTGCGGACCACTGACTTTTTTTAAATATGTTTATCCTTAAGGATGAAATAATTGGACACCACTGATCTAGAGGTAGAGAATGAGTATTGAGAACTGTCATTAAATTAGAATGGCCAACATAATTAACACATTTCCAGTCAAATCACAATATTGCAACACCATATTAGAGTTCAGCATTCACAAGCACAACCCCATGGAACAATTAAAATTTACCCCTTGCATGAATAAGCAAAAAAGTGATACAATGTGAGAGATACCATGCTGAAAATATTCTTAAGCACTCAAATCTCAAGTTATCATTCACTCTATTTACACAGACGTGTAAAGCTAAAAGCAAAAATGCCAGAAACGTGCAGAACTTTTTGCATGCTGTGGCAAGGTCCTCGCTCAGGCCCCTCGCCCTGGGACACCTTCTTCATCCACAAATCAGCCCAAGACCTTTTCTGGTGCAGTCACCCGTGCCTTTTATTGTCAGTTTCCCTCCCCCTTCTATTTACACAGTTTTGGATTATAGCAAACTCAGCCAGCCTCTCCTTCTACCTGGGGAGCGCACACAGCCACAGCCTTGCACTTTCTCCTTTCAATTTCCCTCTGGCTGCCTTATATAGACCTCTGGCTAATTAGGCCCACAGCTGCTTCCATTAGCCCTTCAGGCCTGGCTTACTCAGCTGTCTGCAATTAGTCTTTTCAGTCAGGCTGTAGTGGCAGAGTTCTGGCTTAGCCAGCAGTCTGTCACAATGCAAATACATTTTAACCAACAATGTTGAAAAATGAAAAACATTCACTTAGCAGATTCTCACCAAGGCCTATTACTATGAACATTCAGCATATATATCTGGAATTAACTCATATTTATTTTTAGTTTTACTGTTCATATAAATGAATAAAAACACGTTTTTAACGTTAGAAAATAAAATTGCTATTATTCAACAAATTCTCCCAGGGACAGCTACCAAAAAAGTAAAGTTAAAGCCACCAGAAAATAGAATAATCCTGCAAAAGTCCTACTTCTCCACAGAAACATCCAAAAGTACAACAAACTGCTAAAATCTCAAGTGAATTCTTGCCACACAGTGAAAACAGTACAGTGTCAGATATCAGAAGCCCATATGAAAATGAAGGCAAATGATTTTGTAGGATTCATGGTAAAGTTAGGAAATTCCAAAATGGATGCTACTTCACAATAAGTAACAAACGATTAATTCCTCAAGCAGTCAATAAGGCAGGGGGGGAGAACCTTTTTTTAGTCAAGGGCGATTGACCCACAGAAAAATCAGCTGGGGGCTGTACACAAGTGAGAAGCCCCTGACTGAGAAGGAGAAAGACACTCCTCACATTCCCCTCACACACTGGAGCCTAGAGGGGCCCAGGCTAGTAGATTTTTGTGTACTCCAGCCCTTTGGGTGGGTGGCAGGGGGGCTGAAGCACCAGTGCTGGCTCCCCAATGCAGGGGGATCCCTGAGTCTTGGAGGCCAGATCCAGGCAAGCTGGGGGTCGCATCCAGCCTCTGGGCCTGAGGTTTCCCACCCCTCCAATAAGGTCACAAATACAAGTGCAGTTGCAACATAGTTTAACTGGAATTGTAACTGTGACTTGGTATAAAAAGTCTGCTTCTTTGTATTTTGCGGTTAATCAGTGGGGGAAGTGAAGCTGAAATTGGAGTCTCCTTCATTAGAAGGATAAAAAAAACCTGGTTTAACAACTTCTGCAACACCATTTTGGTTATTCAGTGCAGTAAGTTCATTAGATTTCCTATTCCCAGTGTCACAAAAATCACGCCATGTAGTATGGTACTTAGTTGCTTTTCCAGGCTTGAGGGTACGCTTAATTACATACGAAATTTCCTCTTGAATTGTGAGCAAAACAGCAAGGAAACAAATTCCAGCAGAATTTGAATTTAAAACATAAAAAATGTATTTGCTGTAGTTATTATAAAAATGAGACCTTCAGATGATGGAGTGTGCAATTACTGAGATAACTGCATGCTTTGGGTTTTCAGACAGCTCCAAAGTCAAAGGCTAACTGCCTCAAAAGTGCAAGTAAGGTGGTTCTGTTGCAACAATTACAAACCATCTTGTACATTATTCTACTTACAACTGACTTTATCAGTGAAAAGATATGTAATCAGGCTAAGTACACAGGGTGTCACAAGCAACAAAAGTAGGGAATTTTCCCCCCAAAGCAGTAGAAGGCAGTTTTCATTACAGCAGATACAATGTAACATACTTAGCAAGTTTTTCATAATTGAGTTGCTGTATTGCTGTATTCTCAAAAGTGCTCAGATTTTCAATTCTTTCTATCTGGACAAAAAAAGGTTAGTACACTAAACAAAGCATACTACAAACATCAACACATGATGTTTTGATGCCATCTTCCTTTTTAGATTATTTTGAGATGGCACTGTAATTGGCTGAGTATCTTCACAAGAAAAGTTATTTACATGCTAGATTCCAGGCAAAAGATTTCATGTTTAGTCTACTACTCTACGCTGCCCCAGTTAAATCAATGATTTTTCTAAATAATGCTTTAAAGTCTTGAGATGAAATTGTTATAATAAAGAACAGAAGAGCTGCAGTCATCTGTCCTGAATATTAAACAGAAATAAAACAGAATAGAGTAGCAATTACTTTTTAAAAATGTAACATAACAGAGTTGTAAAAATATTATTACTCTAAAAAATCCTGCAACCAAAGTTTTCCTTGTAATCTACTAACATTTTGGAGAACCTGCCATTTCCCTTATTTCATCCTCTAATAATTGCTAATAAACATTTTGACCTAATTCTTTCTGTAGCTGACATCCTACCAGATAAAAGGCACAGAGTCAGTTTATTATTGGAATTATGTGCAGTAAGAGTTATCGGAAAATTGTGAAATACAGAAATTATTATTTTCCCCCCTTTATACACTTTGGGAAAGTGTTCCATTAGTTCCTAACAAACTCTCTAAAATTTTAACCAAACTAATTATTTAAAACTAACAGTTGAACATTGTTTCAACACAAATTTGCATGAAAAAGACAAGGTACAGCAACCCTCTCACAAGATTAATTTACTTATAGTATAGAAGTAATTTGGATAAAAGTAGATTTTGCTATCATCTGCTTTCCTAATTCAATTGTGCATTTAACTGCTTTATCAAATACTTATTATTGCAGCTTCCTAAACAGACTAATTAGTCAAAGAATGAATAACATCTAAATAAGATCAGACAAAAGCAGATATCAAGTCATTGAAAATCCACTCTAACTCCTGAGAAGGCTTTTACAAACACCAGAGCTTTATATTAGTAAATTAGTATGGGAGAGAGGGATGGGGTTGGAAAAAGAACAATGAAATCATATATGAAGTCCTTAGGAAAACTCATAAAAATTACTCCGCTTTCTAGGGTTGCCAGGTGTCCGGTATTGAACTGGACTGTTCAGTATTTTCACCTCCTGTCCAGTAAAAAATTCAGAAAAATACCGGACACCTAAAATATCCGGTACTTTTTTATTTTTTTCCCCAGCCAGGAGATGAAAATCCCAGGCTGTCTAGCTCAATATGGAGGCAGCCTGGCAACCCTACTGCTTACTGGGTTCCGCACGGGAGCTGTTAGGCCCCACACAGGGAGGCAAGATGGCAGTCTGTCTCCCCACGCGTTTCCTAAAGAGGCCACACTGTTTTGTTTGTTTTTTCTTAAGTCTCGGGGCTTTTTCTTTTTTTTTGCTTAACAACTTTCGGGGTCCTTTTTTTTTTTTGTTCAATATTTTTTCTGAAACCATCTGGCAACCCTACCACTTTCTGCCTCAGGGGATATTTTCATAATGCAATATATATGCTAGACCAGTGGTTTTCAATCTTTTTTCATCTCCTAAAAAATGGAGGTGTTTACCCCTTTGGAAATTTAATCTGTGGTCTATGCACACCCTAAAACAGAAGTCTTAGACTGAAAACAGAGTGAACAAAATTAAACTATAAATGTTGCCCATGCTCATCTTGGCATTTAATACAACATGAGAGAGGGGGCTAAACTGTGGGCTTCTATAGCAAGATTATTGTTTCCTGGTTTTGACCTGTGGATGGCTGTATTCACATATTTTTGATTGATCAGAAGAATGGAACGCCTTTTCTGGGATCTGAAACTTTATTTTCATATATCAGAGGGGTAACTGTGTTAGTCTGGAT